AAAATATATATATATATATATATATATATATATATATATATATATATTCCACCTGTTGGAATACAAATTATTTCAACAGGTGGAATAATTAGAATAATTAGTCATTGTAGGCCGTGAATGAGTAGGCAGTATGTATAGGTTTTAAAAAATGACAAACGTTTCCAGTCAGTCATAATGAGCCTCGATGACAGATAAATACTTGACGCACTCTCTGACTAGAAGAATTCTGCATATATTTCCTGGTAGTTGTAGTTAACATTAGTGTGTGTGTGTGTGTGTGTGTGTGACTACATAACTATGCGGGATGCGTACCTGTACCATTCCAGTCCCTTCTCATAGTTCCGATCGAAGAAGTGCGGCTCCGCTCCCACCGCCCGGACGTCTGGGTGCAGTCTCAGAAACTCCAGGAGCGCCCGGGTTCCTCCTTTCTTAACCCCGATGATGATGGCCTGGGGCAGCTTTTTACTCTCCGTCTCATTTAGGAAACTTGACATGGCATTATCATCCAGCGACTTTGCCTCGCCTCTCATTTCATCCCAGTCGTCTCCCCTGCTGTCCACCTCGTTTTCGTTGTTCAGTAAGTCCCTGGACGCCCCTAAAGATGACTTTAGATGGTCAACTTCAGCATCGTTTTCGTGCCTGCTCAGAGAGCCGTACAGCAGGTTCGGCGAGGTGGAACAGTAGCCAACGCAGCAATAGATCATGTACACCCAAAGGGACAACATTATGCAGAACACAAAGAGTTTGTTCCTCACGTGGGATGATGGCACAACATGTAAACTGTGCAAAATCAAGCTGTATTCCATAGGAACACCGTGGAAAAAAGTTACAATCCTATTCTAAGGCATTTTGATAGATTTGCCTCACACCTCAGTCATGGTTTAATTCCCGGACGGTCGTTGCGCAATTTCACCCAAACGCAAATTTTAGCCAGAATGGAAATAAAAAAATAGAAATGCAATGCAATGGATAGTGTTCACCTCCCACCGGAGGTCGGTTTGAAAAGTCAGTGTTTTAGTCCTTACTTGCAGCAAAAATCAGAAAACTGGTTCTGAAGATGTCATCGGGTGAGCCTGGCGTACGAGAACTGAGGCGTCCTCCCATCACTGTCTCTGAGCGTGTGAGCGCTCCTACACAGAGCCTCCAACTTATCTCCTCTGCACAAGAGCGTCAGGCTTGAAATCATCTGGAAAGACGACTTCCACTCAAGCCTTTCAGAATAAAACTGTTGAGCTTTACCCATCTGATGGAGCAAGATTAAGAGGAAGATGATACATATCTCATGCATTCTTCTCTTTTTTCATTATTAGTATCCATGTTTTCTGCATCTTCATAGGGCTCATTTGAACAGTTATTCTCATGATCATAGGTTTTATATGTCAAGATCAGAGGGGAAATATCTTGTTATATGAGGAACACTTGCAAAATTGAGTTATGTCGTTTTATTCAGGCAGGCATCACAGACATCAGGTGTTAGTCAAAACACAAGTTTACACACCAGCTACAAACCTGCAGGTCTGGACATGCCAACTGTCCACGCACCCAGTGAGGTTTGACGCTTTATTTTGAAATGTGCAGTAAGTTCCTGTCTGTTTCAGCCCTCCTTTGACCTGTTTTTACGCTGATCGTCAGAAACTTTGGAGAGTGTCAGAGCAGCTGATCAGACATAATGATCAGACTTCAGCCTCTCACGTCAGACAGTCGAGAAACGTTACAAAGTTCATTTATGACGAATGGTCAAATCAGACTTGGTCATCAATTCAGTAGTGCTTTGAAGGAAAAAGAAACTGAAATAAACTTGTTTATTTTAAGAATAAAAAAGAAAAGCAACTAGAATTCATGCTGTATTCAACTGGACTTAGACTCTTAGGATGGATTACCATGAACTGGGTAACAGAGAATCTAACCCAGCATCATGTTTTTCTGCATAATTTATTTACTCAGTCATTTGTTTGATTTAAAAAAATATACCTTTGTAGTATTTCATGAAATATTATGATACTTTCCAGACATGTTGTAGCAAACAGAAAACACTTTACAAAAACTAACTACTGCATAGTTTAAGAAATACCAAGACATATTTGGCTCGAGTAAACAACTGTGATCATTGTGACACAGAACGGGTGCCACACATCACCTGTTTACACCACAGAGCTGTTGACGTTATCAGATGACTGATTGAGTGGGTGAGAGTTAATTGGCCTTACAATCATCTCTAATTGCCTTGTAATTTCCCCAAATGTTAACATGCAGTCCACGATAAACAAATATTATCAGTGGATTCTTAGCCTCCATAAAGGTGAATCATTTACCTGCAGAGGGCTTGTGGGTCCTGCCAGTTTCACTTCTGCCGAGTGTGTTCTGCTGATCGTTTTCAAATGCTCCAAAAAAAGTTTGTTGGTGGTGTGCTCTGACACCTCCTGTTGGTGCGGGGTCAAAGGCCCCCCAGTCCTGTTACACCCCTGAGCTAGCAGGAGATTAGCAGGATTACCCCGGAGCTGCCATGTTCCTAAGAGTTCCACCAGAGACAGCCCTGCCCCCTTCATCTAAGCCCCTTATCTTATCTCTGTCAGACACTGCTATATATGATACTGCCTGTGTGTATGTATATGTCCTAATCCTGATAGTTGCATTTTCACAGTGCACGGGCAAAAAATAGCACATTAAGAAAACTGTGTGCATCGGCGGATTGGGTTGGCCATATGCAGCCATGGCTTGCCTTCTCTCTACAGAGCATGTTTGCCTTTGCACTGTGTGCACAAGTCTGTGAGTTCAAGTTGCGTAAGCGTTTAAGTATAATAAAGAACCGTTTTACACAATTGTTTTTAATGGCCTCATATTTCTCTCACTGATGTTGCTGCCTTTTTGCCTTTTTTCAGGACTAATTTTTAGTCTTAGACTCAGACTAGACTGACAAACTTCAAAGTGCCGCCGTCATGGGTCACACACAATGACACCTGAGGGAGGATACACAAAGACTTCCCCAAACACACTCGAGGCACTGCAGAGAACATGTTTTTTTCTTCTCTGAGTTTCATGAAGGTGTTCCTGTCCTAATTTGTTCCATCTGTTGTGCTCCACAGTGTACACACACTCAAACACACGCAAACACACACAAACACACTCTGCCCTCTGTGTCATCTCACAAGAGCCGAGCAGAAGTTAACCGGACACACTAAATGTGGTGCTTGACTTGCTCTACACATCCGCAGAACCATTACATAAACCCTGTGAACACACTCTGCAGCCTAAACAGATGGAATAAACACAACCCAGTGTATACATGGAAGTCCGATAGTCTAATAAAAATCAGCAGTGGGAGACAGACTGATCGTGAATATCAATGTAAACACATTTAAACTCATCTAAGCTTTTTTCCTTTAGATTGTACGTCTTACTCTTACGTCTTAGTTAATGTGAAATGCTTAAAAATAGGCTTGTTTAACATTCTTATCAAACTGCTGCGGACTGTGGTTGAAACAGCTGAAGCTGAGAGTTTAAGACTTTCCCCAACAGCCAGCAGGACGGTGCCTCTTTCAGCCTGTTGTGGCGTGTCACTTTATCCAAACAGCATGTTTCCAAAATGCTTCAACAATCCTCTTGTTGTATGGGATAGCAGGTGGAAATGAAAGCCACCTGACTTCCTGTGTGTCCCACTGTACATAAAAAGAGCAGACTTAACTTCTGTGGCAGCCTCTCATGCGAGAGCACAGTCAAATATACAAGTGAGCATAAACACACATCAAGAGGCACTGACGTCATTGTAAGAGACCTGCAGATGTCACAGATCTGAGCCAGTTAGAGGGTAAAGTTGACTGATGGATGATCTCAGCCTCCGGTGTGTCCCAGAAAGAGCTAATGCAAACAACAGCAGGAACAGCTGAGGCCTTAATACATGCAAAGCCTCTGGCCTAATGACGGAGTTATTAGGTGAGCTGAGAGCCAGATCAAGACTCCTCTGACTCCATTAGTCCTCCTTTAAGTTCTTCAAACTCCAGTTAAGGCCTGTTAAGATGTGTGTAAAGTCTCCGAAGCCCAGCTAGAGACCATCTTATCTTCTCTAAAGGAATAACCCTAAATAGAGCGGATATCCCTACTTGATCCACTGAAAAAGTCTTATCCCTCACTCATGTTCCGCTGAACACAGAGGAAGCTCTTTGGCAGGTTAGAAAGCTCAAACTGAATCTTGCATGAGTTAAAAATCCCTTTATGCTGTTTTCGTCTTTTCCAGCTCAGTGTGTACATTAGATGGTGGTTCACATACTTTCATGTTGGAGAATGAGACCAAAGGCCAATGTTAGTGTGGCTCATAAGTTCCTCTTAAAGCATTTATCAACACATATTAACTCATCCATAATTACCCAACTCTGTTATTGGCTGTTTGTTTTGTTTATTTTTACTCTTTCGCAATATTTGCTCTACTAAAACATTTAGATTTTTTTCTGTTCTCAAACCGACTTCAACAAGCACTTAAAAAAGGGGAAAAAAAAACTTTTTCCTTTTTTTTTGTTTTCTCAGAAGTTGATACAAAAGAAATGGCACAGGATGTTGAATCCTTTCGTATATTTATGCAGTATCCAGATGGTTCTCAAGTTTGAGCTCAAGGTTGCAGTATTTGCTAGAGATTTAGCTTTATCACCTCATTTTCAAGTGCAACTCAATTTAGATTGGGCAGATCGGCCCTAAAGGAGGAAATAAATATTGAAAGTGCAGTCTCTTCAAACTATTTTATGTCTATAAATAAGACATTTAGAATATAAAAAGACATTTTAACCCTCAGGAAAACTGCTACCGCTTTCAGTCCTGGCAGCCTGTCCGGGGTGTGATCCACCTATCCCAGCAGTGACGGCTGGGATATAGGCTCCAGCTGAGCACTGAAGAGGATTAAGCAGGTACAGAGAATCAATTAATTACTTTTACTTTGTATTTATATAAATACTGTATATATATAATATTATTCTATATGATATATTAAATGCATTGTATATTGGTGAGTTTTCAAGTACAAAACATTTACAATTTTTTATTCTTTAGGAATGTTCTATTTAAAAGGATGGTCACAAATAGGTATTAGCAACAGAGTGAAAAAAACTCTGCCTCGCAGCTCTGTATAACTAAAAAAAAAAGGCTGGAAAATTTAAACCTCACCTAATCTTACTTTTATTTACCATAAGGAGCCCTGTAGCTCTCTAATCTGAAACAGGTGTAGTTTTTCAGACCCTATGCAACTCTTTTAATATGATATACCCAGATAAAGACTTCAAACATGACCTTAGACCGTTTGTCAATACAGATCCACCGGTCGAAGAGCACAATTGCCTGATGATATTCATGAGATTGCCCTGAATACTCAATTGGCAACAGCACAGGGAGATATCTTCACATCTAAGGTCTGCTCACTGGATGTCCCATTGGGGGCATATCCTGGATGAAAATGCAGGCCATTATTCAAGCTGAGAACAGGTGTTTTCATCAAAGATCGCTGCATCATTATGGTCCCTCAGGGAATGTGAGAAATATCAAAGCATGGGAATTTATGATAGGGACTTAAAAAGGAAGGCAACTGATATTCCAGCTTGCGAAGCCAGTTCTAGACTCGTAATGTAAAGTCAGAAAGGATTATTTAAATCCAGCATGAATTAAAGAGTGTCCAAATGCAAAGAAGGTGAACACACTGTGGTGTAGTTTCCTTCACTTTTGTGTCTGTTTTTTTCTTTTATTCTTTGCAGACACACAGTGCATGTCTGCATTATTCAGACATTACAAGAAGTTGAAGATGTGGCCAAGACTATTATTTTTTTGGTTCAGTCTCTGTGGAATCCTTCTAAAGACACATTATGCTGAAAATTTCCACCACTTCTTCCTGAGCTTTTGTTTCCACATTCCTGACATGCTTCATCTCTCACTCCTCTTTCATCTCCCTCATCTCTCCAGATTAGAGCTACACATGGTTTACACTTTTCTGCTCCATGTTTTGAGCTCTTTCGTGCAAATCCAGAAATTCTGGGTGGAAGACACTTTATCTAAAGTCACTGGTCCTGTGATCTGGGCTGAGCCAAACAAGGTTGCGCTCACAACTTTCAAAGTGCTCCTCTATCATCAAAGGCAAAGAGTGAATAGGTCATTCATGGGAGGGCAGAGGGATCAGGCACCACGCAACCAAGTTCTGTCAGATGGATTTTGAACACGATTCACATCTACAAGACTATAGGAAATTACTATTTTTTCCTCGCAAACAACTAAAGCAAAAACTGTAATCTACTGTGAAAAACCAAGCACTGTTTGTCAATGAGGAAGTAATAACTTTAGTTGATGGATATGCCAATTTAAAAACT